GAGCTCGGTGCGCCGGCAACTGGGAGGGGGAGAACCCCCTCCCTCCCGCCAGCAGGCAAGAGCTCAGCGTGCATGAGATCAGCTGGGCAGGGGGACCCCGCGGCAGGTGTGAGCTCAGCTGGGAAAGGGCCCGTCCTTCCTGTGCATACCTTAAAATCTCGAGTATAATGGGGGTGCGCATTATAGATAAGAGTTTAGTTTATTCAAGAATTTTGACCTTTAAAAGGCAGATGTGCATTATACATAGGTGCGCATTATACTCGAGATTTTACGGTATATTTTAAGAAGGGTGGGATGGAGATGAGAGAAGTGATTTGGGAAACTGCATGTGCATTGATTTAACCTCATTTGTATGCAAGGTCTTAAATTTTGAAGGAGCAGTTAAGGACATAGAGGTTAATGGTAATTGGGATAAAATACCACATGATTTTATAAAAAGTAGGTTGTGCCAGACCCAACCTAATTTCTTTGAGAATATAATTGGTTTTCTAGACTGGGAGTGGGGCATTTCAGGCCTGTGGGCAGGATCATGGCCCCTACTTAATTTGAATCAGCCTGTGGCAGTCCATGCACTGTGGGCCAGAACCCCTGAGCCTTGATGCCCCCTGCCCAGTGGACTGGAGCCACAAGCGCTGGCTTGCAGCAATGTGGGAAGCTTCACATGCTATCTTCCCCTGCAGGCAGTGCTCCAGCAGCTCCTATTGGCTGGGAACTGCAGGCAATGGGAGCTGTGGAGGCGGTGTCTACAGGCTAGGGCAGCGTGTGGAGCTACCTGCTTCCCCACCTCTACCCTGCGGCTGCAGGGACATGCTGTCTGCTTCTGAATCTGAGAGCTGTTGGAGTTAAGCATCCCACACCCTCTCCTGAGCTCCTGTCCCAGCCCTGAGCCCCCTCTCATACTCTATAACCCCCTGTGTTCCCTCTGGCCCCCTGATCCTCTCGTCCTAAGCCCCAACCTGGAGCCTGCACACCCTCTGCTCCAGCCTGGAGCCCCCTCCCACACTTTGAAGCCCTAACTTCTGACCACCTCCCAATTGTAGGGTTGCCAACTTTCCCGATTAGATGGACCAGATGCAGTTACTATTCATGGCAATGGCGTCCAGCAGTTTGTCTGGCTAAGAAAGGTGGCAACCCTACTCCAAAAGCCTTGGTGAAGCTCCTAGTCTCGCACTCCCTCCATACATTCCTGTGGCTAATTTTTTTTTCTGGGGAGTCAGTGGCCCCTGGTAAAAAAGAGGTTCCCCATTCCTGTTCTAGACAAAGTAAATGCTGTAGACCTACCTGGATTTCAGCAAAGTATTTGATACAGTTCAGATTGGGAAATTATTGGTTAAATTGGAGAATCTGAGGATTAATATGAGAATCGAAAGGTAGGTAAGAAACTAGTTAAAGAAGATTATAACTGCTCATGTTGGAATGTGAAATGTCACATTTGGCGGGATATTAATGGAGTTCCTCAAGGATTGATTTTTGGGATTGTTCTTCATTAACATTTTCCTTAATGACCTTGGAACAAAAAGTGGGAATGTGCTAATAAAATTTATGGGTGACATGAAGTTGGGAGATAGTTTCAATGTGGAAGAGGACTAAAGCAGTGGTTCGCAATCTTTTCAAGCATACGGACCCCGTTTCAATCTATTAAAATTTCGTGGACCCTTCTGTGGGGGAGAAAAAAAATAAAAGGAAATGTAAGGAAATAAAATAAAAATTAGGATCAGCCCCACTGTAGTGGGCCCAATCCTTATTTTTAAACTTTCCACTGACCCTCTGCAGTATCTTTGTGGACCACCAGGGTTTCGCAGGGCATAGGTTGGGAACCACTGGACTAGAATATCAGACAAGATTTGGACAACCTTTAAATCTGGAGTAATGGTAATGGAATAAAATTTAGTAGTGCAAGGTCATGCACTTAAGGCCTAACAAAAAGAATTTTTGCTGTAAGGTGGGAGACATATCAGTTGGAAGTGCTGGAGGAGAAAGACATGAGTATATTGATCAATCACAGTAGCAATGGGGAAGTGTTATTACCATTAAACAAGGGATTGGTGAGTCCTCATCTGGTAATGTGTTCAATTCTAGTCTCCCATGTTTATGAAATCAAACTGGGGCAAGTGCAGAGAATGGCTACTGAGATAATTGGAGCATGGAGATTTGAGGAACTTGGCTAACAGAATGAAAGATAAAGGGAGATACGATTGCACTCTAGAAATATATCAGAAGGATGAATACCAGGGAGGGGGAGGAGTTATTTACAGTAAGGGTTATTGTTGTCCCAAGAACAAATGGCTATACATAAATTTAGGCTTGACATTACATGAAGGTTTCCAATTATCAGAGAAGCAAAGTTCTGGAACAACCTTCCAAAGTGTGTGTGTGTGTGAGAACCTTACTTGTTTCAAGATTGAGCTTGATAAGCTTATGGGGGGAGGGGGAGGGAAGAGGTGGTATGATGTGATTGCCTACAATGGCATGTGGCCCATCTGTGACTTCTCATAGTTAATATCTGCAACTTATGGAGATGGGACAGTATAGAGCAGGGGTTCCCAGCCTGGAGTATGCGTACCCCCACGGGGTACAAGAAGCTTGTCAAGGGGGTACGGGGAATATTTGTAAATAACTAGAGTATCCTAATTGAAATATTCCAAAAGTAGTAGTGTTAGTGAAAAAAGTTGTGGATTCTAGAGTCTAGAATTTATTTCCTTTCATATTGAATAGGGGGTATGGGAAGGTTTACTAAAAGCCAAGGGGGTAGAGGGACCGAAAAAGGTTGGGAACCCCTGGTATAGAGAAAGAGCCCTGAGTAACTACCAAGAATTCTTTCCCAGGTGTGTGTATGGTAAGTCTTGCTTACATTCTCAAAATTTCATTGCCATATTTGGTTCAGGATGGATGTAATTTTTTCCCAGGTCAGATTGACAGAGAACATGTGAGATGGGGCAGAGGTCACTTGAAGCAGAATAAATGATGAATTCTTGTAATTTGAGGTCTTTAATTCAAGATTTGAAGACTCTAGTAACTCAGCCCAGGATTATGGGCCATACTGCAGGAGTGGGTGGATGAGGTTCTGTAACCTATGAGCTGCAGGAGGTCAGACTAGATTATTGTGATTGTCCATTCTAGACTTAAAATGTATGAGTGAGAGTCTAAAATAATATTTTGACACATTTATTTCTTTTTCTTCCTTGCAGCACAGAGATACTTCTGAAAATAACCCAGATACTCCATTTGATTTCACACCTGAAAACTATAAGGTATGGAGAAAATGGCATATTTAAGATTCCAATTTGGATATTTAACAAGTGTTGTAAACAGTTTTTTCCTCTTAGAGAATAGAAGCAATAGTAAACAACTACCCAGAGGGACATAGATCCGCTGCTGTGATTCCAGTACTAGATCTGGCCCAGAGACAGAATGGATGGTTGCCCATATCAGCGATGAACAAGGTATTTAATTTGTTTTAAAAAGTATGATTGCTATTTTTCTTGAGCTAAATCTCAGTTTTGCTAACAGAATGAGTAAATAAGAAATTCCATAACCAATAAAAGTAATGCAGGAGGTTACATTTGGCAAAGAACATGAGAATCGCATGCCAATTTCATTGTAGAAATTTCCCTCTGGGAGAATCCTGCCTCTGGGAATTTCTGCACATAATGCTTGCCTAATACAAGAAACTCCAGACATAGCAGCAAAACAAAACTTAAGCGAACTTGATTCAGACATACTGTGAACTTAATGAAGAAATGATATGCGGGTTGAAGCTGATGTGTGGGATTGTTCATTGCTGATTGTTTGCTTTTCTTTCCTAAGTACTGGTTAGACTCCCTTCAGTTAAGGGGAGAGAATCCTAGTGTGCTACTGCTGCTGAAAGTAATAATTTATCTGGAGGATGTGGGAGAAACTGTGCTCTAGACTACATCTACAGTACAAGCTAGGGGTTATGATTATTTTCCTCATGTTACTGTACTCATGCTACCTCTTCTTGAGCAGCATAAGTATAAAGAACAGTGTAGCCACATGGTAGCATGAGTAGTAGCAGTGGAGGCTTAGCTGACCCATAGTGAGTACATATATACTAGCTGCAGGTGGATTTTTACTGTGTACAAATGTCTTATAGACAGAGGTTCTCACCTCTGTGCAAAGGAGGCTGGGGCAAGCAGGGTTCTTGTCAGAAACCTGTCGTCTTTCTGTTGTACCTTCATCAAATTAAAACTGTTTCACTCAAATGTTCTACGGAATTGGCAAATTTCTGACCAATTTAATATTAATTATGTTGTTCTGATAACTCAGAGGAGCAGTGTTTGTTGTATTTAACAGTCTTTCCCTGCACAGTGAAGCAAGGAAATGGAAATGTAGACATTTTCTTCATAAATAACCCAAAGTTTTAACTTGTCTTCTCTTGTGCTCCTTTAAGAGGTAATAAAACCTATCCAAAATGTGTCTGGGAGAGGAGTCATTTCAGGCTTTGATAGGTGATTATCATTTTGCTTTAGCAGTTTTTATAATCTCCTCAGTCATGTATGCCAGATGAAGTGACACTAAGCTGTTTTTATGCATGGAACTACTATAAATCCTTTCCCACTTACGTGGTCATTTGCAGCATCAAGTTTAAAATGAGTTTTGCTTTAGTGTAGAGGCTTGGAAACAGTATTCTTCAATGTTAGTTATTTTGTACTTGGACTTAGTTTTCCAGTGTACCGAATTTCTATTCCAGCAAAGAATTATTTTTGATGTTGTCGTGCTGTTTGCAGTGGCTCACGACTGAGAGTGCTAAGCTCAGTGCAAACTGATAGAAAGCAGGGCAAAAACTCCAAACTGGTTTTGCACGATTTCACAAAGCCAGTAACAAGTTTGTTCTCCCTAAATCTGTGTGTCACTCTCCTGAGTGTCTCAAACTCCTGTATGGTGTTCCTATCTATCTTGCCACCCAAGCAAGCTTGATTTTGTGATAGTTGCTTTACACCAATAATCATAACAGTATTCTGGTGACACCCAGTCCTAAAGACCAGTCACTTACCGCCAGTCAGTTTGCACCTTAGCTCTCACACCAAAGATGATGTTATACACATAATAAATTAACGTTTAATTAGGAACAAGAAATGAGTTATTTACAAGGTTAAAGCAGGTGTACAAATATATGAATGTCCTAGTCAGGTTTTGAAAAGTAAAAGAAATTTCTGTAGTAAGAAGACTCTGTCAGGGCTGGGCAAAATATGGCCCGGGAGCCAGATACAGCCCATGGACTACCCTGCTGGGACTCTCAGGCACACGCAGCTGTCGGGGTTTAAAACACAGCCTGTGGCTCTTTGCTCTGCTGCAGGGAGGAGGAGGTTTTGTGTGATCTCCCCACCCCCAGCCCAATTCTCAGCTCCTATTAGCCAGAAACAACTGGCCAGTAAGAACTGACCTTAACCAATCTCTCCACTCTGATTGGCTGGAAACAGCCAGCCAGTCGGACTTAGAGATTGGCCTGAGACGCTGGCAGCGCAAGCCTCTTCCGCCACCTGGAATTGAGAGCCATGAGGAGGGAGCAGTCTGTATTTTCAAGTGGGCTGGAGCTGCAACAGGCAGGGAGCCCACCCTGCCTTGAGAGTGCTACAGCCTACTGTCCAGGAGACACTTAGGTAAACTCCTCCCAGCCAGAGCCTGCCTCTGGCACCCCAACACACCTCAGATCACCATCCAAACCCTCTGCACCCCCTGTCCCATGTGACAACTTGACAACTCCCTCCCAGACCCTGTACCTCTTCCTACAGCCCTTCCCGAGGCCACAATCCTCTCCTGCACCCACACTCCCTCCCTGGTCCTGTACCCCAATCCCCTGACCCAGGTCACAACCCGTCCTCCACTCAAACACCCTCTCAGTCCCCACAGAGTCTCCTGCACCCCAGTCCCTTATCCCATGCACCCTTCTGCACCCAACTTCCAACCTAGACCCCAAACCTCCTCCACAGAAAAGTGCGGCCTTTGACCATTTACCAAAATCTTAGTGTGGCTGTATCTTTAAATATTTTATTTGGGATGTCTGTTGTTGGCTTTTGGTATATCTGCGTCTGTGTGCGCCTAGTTACTGCTGATGAGAAGGTTTAATAGCTCAGGACAGTGAACTATACCAGTGTTTCTCAACCTTTTATTTATTTTTTTAATAAAGTACCCCCTTTAAAAAAAAAAAAAATTACCCCATACCGACAGATTTCAGACACACAATTTTTTTTTCTACCGTTGCAACACATTTGTTTAAACAACTTAATCGTAGCCGGGCGGGTGATGAAATTTTTGGGTGTAAAAAGTACAAAAATAATAAAATGCTGTAAAACTTAAAACAAAAATTCAGTTTTCTCTAAATTTCAGTTGTGTTGACGTAGTGTGTCGTCCCCCCCCCGTTCCCCTCCAAGACTTCTCTCAAGCACCCTTAAGGTTACTCACACCGCTGGTTGAGAAACACTGCGCTATACAAATGTCAAACTGTGACTTGTCAGAGGTCTCAGAGTCACAATGGTGGTCTGTTATGGCTGCCTTCAGACCTAGGAATGTTAAGTATCGGTTAACTGCATAGTCGATTAACCTCACCAATTCTTATTGGTACTCGACTATTCTTTTGTCCCAGAGGGTGGGGCCGACAGCGAGTGCATTCTGGCCCCACTCCCAAGGAGCCCCCTGCCACTCCGTGCTACCGCCTTTGTATCAGAGGCAGCAGCGCAGTGTGCCAGGCAGGAGCTGGTCTGCAAGGGGAGCCAGTTTAAAAACCAACGCCCCTCACGGACTGGCTGCCTGTTGCCATGCACTGCTGCATCTGATACAAAGGCAGCAGCGCAGGGTAGCAGGGAGCTCCCTGGGAGTGGGGCCAGAGCGCACTGGCTGTTGGCTCTGCTCCCTGGGCTGCTAAAAAATTAACTGGGGGTTGGGGGGAAAGGGGGAGAGAATGCATGTAGTCTATACCATTAACCTATAAGCTTTTGCTTATTGATTAATTGACTATACTATTACATCCTATTCAGAACACAAGATTGCAGAAGTAATTTTGTATTTTTTCACTTTGTATACAGGCAGTCCCCGAGTTACGCGGATCCGACTTATGTCGGATCCGCACTTACGAACGGGGTTCCTCTCCCTGGTCTCCAGCAGACCAGGGAGAGGAAGCAAAGCGGTGGAACACGTGGGCAGCGGACAGGGCTGTCCGCTGCCCACGCGCTCCGCGGCTTGGCTCTGCTTTGCCCCCCCGTCCCCCTGGTCTGCAGACGTGTTCCACCACTTTGCTTCCTCTCCCTGGTCTGCTGGAGACCAGGGAGAGGAACGGCCCCGTTCGTAACTGCGGATCCGACATAAGTCGGATCCG